ATACCCATATTTATGACGATGAAAGTTTGGTGTCTTTTGATGTCGTATCGTTATTCCCGAGCATCCCCGTAGACTTAGCAATAGAGATCATAGATTCGAAATGGAGAGCTAGAGAGCTTTTCTTAACCATACTAAAATACTACATTAAACCGCTACTAGAACTGCTACTTCAAATACAATGATAAGATTTATGAGCAGAAGTCAGGAATGCCTATGGGTTCACCTGATTCACCGGTCATAGCGGATATAGTTATGGAAGAACTTTTAAATAAATTCGAAAAAGACTCTAACAGCAAACCACGGCTACTTACCAAATATTTTGATGATTTATTTGCGATTGTAAAAACGGAAAACATAGACAAGATACTCAACACTTTAAACAATTTTAACAAAACTATAAAATTCACAACAGAAATAGAAAATGAAGGACAACTACTATACTTGGACACCCTAATAATCAGAAAAGGAAGTGCATTAACAGTTGACTGGTATAAGAAACCTACAGCACCAGGGAAATTATAAATTTCAATTCTAACCACGAAAGGAGGACAATTATAAATACGGCTACCAACTTCATCCGAAGAGTACTCACCATAAGTGATAAGATATACCACAGGAAAAATATTGGCATTATCAAAGAAATCCTGGAGAAAAACGAATTTCCTCATGGCTTAATCAACAAACTCATCCGCGATTACTATATCAAGTCCAATAAAGATAAATCAAATGAGAAGAAAATTTATACATCGGCAACGTATGTTCCAGGATTATCAGAGAGGATTAAGCATTCTAAAATGTTTGACAGAGAAAAATTTCACATAGCGTTTACGTATGATAATACTTTAAAACAAATATACACCAACACCAAAGACAAAATTCCTAAAAATGAGAAATCTCACGTAATTTACAGAATACCATGCGATTGTGACGGGTCCCACGTATGCGATATGGTATATGTGGGGACAACCAAATCTAAATTGAAGACATAAANAGAGCTAGAGAGCTTTTCTTAACCATACTAAAATACTACATTAAACCGCTACTAGAACTGCTACTTCAAATACAATGATAAGATTTATGAGCAGAAGTCAGGAATGCCTATGGGTTCACCTGATTCACCGGTCATAGCGGATATAGTTATGGAAGAACTTTTAAATAAATTCGAAAAAGACTCTAACAGCAAACCACGGCTACTTACCAAATATTTTGATGATTTATTTGCGATTGTAAAAACGGAAAACATAGACAAGATACTCAACACTTTAAACAATTTTAACAAAACTATAAAATTCACAACAGAAATAGAAAATGAAGGACAACTACTATACTTGGACACCCTAATAATCAGAAAAGGAAGTGCATTAACAGTTGACTGGTATAAGAAACCTACAGCACCAGGGAAATTATAAATTTCAATTCTAACCACGAAAGGAGGACAATTATAAATACGGCTACCAACTTCATCCGAAGAGTACTCACCATAAGTGATAAGATATACCACAGGAAAAATATTGGCATTATCAAAGAAATCCTGGAGAAAAACGAATTTCCTCATGGCTTAATCAACAAACTCATCCGCGATTACTATATCAAGTCCAATAAAGATAAATCAAATGAGAAGAAAATTTATACATCGGCAACGTATGTTCCAGGATTATCAGAGAGGATTAAGCATTCTAAAATGTTTGACAGAGAAAAATTTCACATAGCGTTTACGTATGATAATACTTTAAAACAAATATACACCAACACCAAAGACAAAATTCCTAAAAATGAGAAATCTCACGTAATTTACAGAATACCATGCGATTGTGACGGGTCCCACGTATGCGATATGGTATATGTGGGGACAACCAAATCTAAATTGAAGACATAAATAACATAAAATTAAGGAATAACTCTATGGACAATAAGACAGCCTTAACATCTCACTGCCAAAATATGGGACATTATCCCGATTTTGACAATGTAGCAATCTTGAAGGAAGAGAGAAATTACAATAAACGTTATACTCTAGAGATGCTACACATCATGAACACCCCTAATAATAGAAGGATGAATTTTAAAACTGATACAGACAATTGCGCTCATTTCTATCGCAATTTAATTCTCACGCACAAAAACCAATAACGTAGTGGTCATGTGTTTATGTGTTCATGTTATTGTTCGTCGGTCCGCCACCAGTACTTCGTCCGACAATAACAATGCTATGCCGTGTTGATCTACATACAGATTTTCTCCGTCCTACTGTCCACCACTTCATGTATTGTTGTTTGTATATTTTTTGTTTACATTTACGTTATATTTCGACTTTCTTAAATTCACTTGTTTATGTTTAAGTGTTCTTTGAGCTTGTTTGTTAATATTTTTCTGCACATAGAATTAGTCGAGTAGAAAAACTCAATAATGAAATAATGTAATGTTGCGATCTTGATGTAAGTTTTTTGTAATTTGACGTAAATATGTATGCACTTGGTATTTTTCAGTCCAGAAGATGCCTTCAGATTGAAGGCGAAATATCGACATCAATAAATGTAATAAGTAAAACTACCAAAATCTATGTTTTATTTAATAACTGGCCTGGAGCTCAAAATTAACGAATAAAATAAAGCATTTCTATTATCGGTGTTTGACGTTTGTATGTTTCTTGGCTGTAAACAAATCAAAAATTTATATTACGAAATTTAAACAAAATATATCATATTTAAAAATTTATAATACGCAACAATTAAACAAGGCAACAGTGATTTTGTTGCGGCAAATGATAAAGCTGTTTTTGATAGACTTTTTTATGCTGATTACGAGTCCGTAAGCATAAGGTTTCCATCTGCTCCAGATTTTGAGAAAACCGAGGTCAAAGTGTCAAAAAATCGCGGTTTTTGCAATATTTTAGAAAGTCTAGCACACAAACAAAAGGTGATAGAACCTTTAACTGGGGCTTAAATTAAAGCTATAACTCTCGGCTAATATCTNGATAGACTTTTTTATGCTGATTACGAGTCCGTAAGCATAAGGTTTCCATCTGCTCCAGATTTTGAGAAAACCGAGGTCAAAGTGTCAAAAAATCGCGGTTTTTGCAATATTTTAGAAAGTCTAGCACACAAACAAAAGGTGATAGAACCTTTAACTGGGGCTTAAATTAAAGCTATAACTCTCGGCTAATATCTCTGCACCTTGACCTGATGGTCACTAAAAGTCATTTATTGAACAATATAAAAATACTGAAATAAATACTGTGGTATTGAAAAGAATAAATAAGTTTTGCCAAAATCATTTTTGCTGTCAAATAAATAACTATAAGTGACCTTAGGGTTAAAATTAAGGGATGGTATTTTAAGCGATTATAGTCGAAAGTTCAAGCCCTGATTTCCGCCCAAGTGGAAGGCTCTATCCCCTTTTGTTTAATTGCGGTGGGTACTCAAACTTCGCACAAAACCAGGTTTTGCTGTTCAATAAATGACTATAAGTGACCATCAGGTCAAGGTGTAGGGATGGTATTTTCAGGGATAGTAGTCGAGACTTCTAGCTTTAATTTAAGCCTAATACCGCCTCTTGTTTCTTTGCAAAAGCTTCTAAAATATTGCCAAAAACCCCGATTTTTTGACAATTTGACCTCGTTTTTCACAAAATCTGGAGCTGATGGAAACCTTATGCTCATGGATTCGTAATCAGCACTGACAAGTCAATCAAAAACAGCTGTAACATTTGCCGCAACAAATTTTTTTCCCATTTTTGTTGCCAAGTGTTATAGATCATAAGAAGAAGCTTTCTTCACTAGGCTCATAATTTTATTTGTAATTCTAAGCTTCAGTAATATATATGTAAATAAATAGAATTCGATAACAAAATGCTTTACTTAGACAGAACTATACATGTTAAAGCAATATTTAAATATAAGTTGTATTTTAAAGTTAAAAGTTACTTAAGAAAACGGCCGTACCTGTGTTTATATTTTCAATATTTTTTTGTTTTTTGTTTTTCGATGCCGTCCCTGTTAATTTGGAACAGTTTTTAACATTACATTGACTATCGATAGTACTATCGATGGTAGTGTTTGACACTATCGATAGTATTGCTGGAAACTATCAACGAGTAATGTTAGTTTTTTTCTGAAACATGGGAACTATCGATGGTGGCACTATCGATAGTTTTACAACTCTAAAATCTGGTATATTTTGACAAAAAATTTTACGTGTGCACCATGTAATATCTTTTTTAACCGACTTCACAAAAAGGAGAAGGTTATCAGTTCGTCGAAATATATACATATATATATTTTTTTGAGGGAATTTTACCGCATAACTTTGGACCACGTTAACCGATTTCGATAATTCTTTTTTCATCGGAAACCTCAAGGGTGGTCCTATACTAAGTTTGCTTATATCCGGTAATTGGATCGTGAAGAAATTAACGGTAATCTTAAATTTGTATATGAGAGATGAAGTCGGTTTTCTTTTTTGCTTAAAAATACTTGTTTATTTTAATAGTGTAATTTTAATTGGTTTCTTTGTTGTAAATATTGTTTTATTGTTTCTAAACCGAGATTTTCAAAAGGCCAATAAAACCATAATGGCTTTATTTCCATTTCCAGTAGGATTTAAGGCCATATCGAAATTATGGTGTTATTTCCAATCGCAAAGCGAAATATAACCGTTATGCTTTTATTGAGGATCGTGCTATTGTAACCCATCTGCTTGTATCGAATGCGTGTTCAAATTTAGAAGTCTGCAGAGTAGGTACAATTCTACATACTCTAACATATATACATATGTATTTGCTTTCGTCGGTAAAGTAGTATAAATAAGCATTGGGAATTAAGACAAAAACTCAGACTTTGGTATTATTACCCCTTTAAAAATGATGTAAAGCAAATTTTGCTTTACTGGCGTTTGCCTTATAGCACCCACGTTTCTTAAGCATGGATGAGAGCTTAATATTTTTATTCATCATACATTATTTTGAGATAACTCACTTTTTTTATATGTAACCGTTTCCTTTAGGCAACATCTACTCGAATTGTTGGTGGCATTTGGTGGTTTTTTACGCTGATAATCATCTCGTCATATACGGCTAATTTGGCTGCATTCCTGACAGTGGAACGAATGATAACGCCAATTGAAAGTGCTTCTGATTTAGCAGATCAAACGGACATATCGTATGGAACCTTGGAAGGAGGATCAACCATGACATTTTTTAGGGTAATAGTACATACATACATAGACATAAGTATACTTACTTCCAGTGTTGCCAGTTTAGCCGTTTTCCTCCTAGATTTAGCCGATTTTGCTGTAGGCCTTATTTTCTTAAAATTCAAATACATAAGTTTCCATTTTTTTAAATTAAGCGACCCAAAATCTATTAAAGATTGCTAGGCTTATCTCGGAGAAAATTTTCATATCGGATGTGTTATATAAAATTGAAAGACATTTTTTTTCTAATCCGAAAAGTCTCAAAAAATACTGGGCCAATTTCAATCATTTTTATTTAAGCCAATGTCTGCGAACCCAAATAAATATAAGCTGGATCGCGACATTTTAGCCAGTTTAGGCTAATTTTCTTTTGTTTATTTAATGCTTCCTTTTTTAAGGGTGTAGCTGATTACTTAAAAAACACCATTTAAATTCAAGTTTCATACTTCGTGCAAAAATTATGAAAATTCAGCAAACTTTCAACAAAATTTCTAACTTTTTAATTAGCTCTTTAAAATATAAAAATTTAATATATTTAAATAGCACTATCGATAGTATCGATGTTTTTTTATTTTTCGCTACTATCGATGGGTTTTGGTCCTATCGATAGTCCGACAGATATGTGATTCAGTATTTATTCTAGTTTTAGTTCTTCGTTTCCTTTCATTTTTCTTAAACATCCAAGTTGAACTAAAAATTTGGTTGCTACTCTTTTAAAAGAGTAGTGAAAAATTTCGGAAAGGACGGAAAACCTCGCATCCTTTGAAATACCGCTTACTAAAGTAAAAAACTGATAAGCCCAATATACAATAACGCAGTGACAGAGGCAGTTTTTCGAAATCAGCTGTTTTTTAGAAAGTGTGGTGTCCAATGAAGCGACTCACAATACAGCAGTGGCAGCTAGCAGTACTGCTCAGTTTAGCCCAAACTCTAAATTCACTGCCACTGCCTTCATCGCAGCAAATATCGCATGTTGAATTTGACATAAATGAAACGCAGCCAACTTCTATTTATGTCACTGAAGTCTAAAAGGCAACAACAAAAATATAAGCAAAGAAAAGGGAATGTCAAAAAAAGCAGTCACTGACAACGCCGTATTGTGATTGCTGCGACTGTCACTGCCACTGCGCTATTGTATTTTGGGCTATACAAATTAACTTATACCCAAACTTTCAATATTATCTATTCACAACTATTTACAATTTAATAAAAAGTAAATAAAAATCATTATGTATATGGAGGATATCTAAAACCACAAATATAAATTGTTTTCAATTTAAACTCATTTCAGATATTCAATAACTTAACGGTTAAACAATTAAAAAAAATTGACCAGTAGTGTACAAGGGCATCCAAACGTCATTTCGGAATATGTTTTTAAGGAAATCTTCATACCAAAATTGAGCGAAAATTATAAACGATACTATCGACGATATATCGATAGTTTTTAAAATAAAATCGAATACTATAGATGGTCTGATTATCGATAGTTTTGCACCTCTAATGCACACTGAAATTTAATAGACTATTAAACGGCATACCATGATTTTTGTAAAGATGCTGATTAAAAAGGTAAACATTTTGGTGAAGTTTTGCAAAATTTTCATAAGTTTTGCACAAAGTCTGAAGTTTGGATTTATATGGTTGTTAAACTCTATGGGCAGGCAATACCTGTGAATAATTGTATCAGGCATATACAGGGAGTGCCCAGGTCATTAAAAATGGGAACGTTTAGACCAAGGTGTATTAAACAAGGTGGTGTTGGGGCGCCAGCTGATTTTGCTGATTTTTCGCCGTGGAGAGCATTACGTCAAAATGAAGGCGAATTTAATGTGTTTTGTTTACTTTCTAATTGACACTGTGAATTTCTGGCTCGTGAGTCGTTTATGTGTGAAAATTTGTGCTTAAAACTAATAAAATAAAAATAACTTGCAATTAAAAAGGTAAAAAGCAGCAATGGGAAAGTGTGCGTTGTGCTTTAAAAGAATTGAACGGGGTAAGGGCCCTTTTTTTCGCGTTCCGCATGAGGAACCAAAGCGGCAGATATGGAGCACAGCATGCGGGATGCAGCTTGGAGCTAAAGACTCCATTTGTGTGGACCATTTTTCTAGTCCGGATATTGCAACCACGGGAAAATCTGTGAGATTGTTGCCAAAAGCCATTCCGAAAGCTCTACCGGTTTGCACAATTACCACGATTCCAGAGGAAGCCTGTACTTATAAGGATTTAGAGTAAGTATCGAGCTTTTAGATTGTAAGATTGTGCCAATACCAGAATTTTGTATAGGACAAGTTTCGCGGTTGGAAATACAGATGTAGTAACATCCGGTGTTCTATCGCAAACGGCGTAAGTGAAGATATTTTCATATGAAAAATTGGTTACAAATTATTTGAAATGCAGGTCCGGTTTCGAGATGACGGAACAAAGGCCCACCGTTAAAATATGTTTTGAAACCCCAACTACGTATGTAGAAAAGAGTAACTAATTAATAATACAAAGGAATATATTATTTAGTTCAAATAGGTTGACTGTTCCATTGACTGACGCAAGCAAGCTACCTGTTAAAGACAATGAAGCTCAAACGGAGTGAGTGGACAAAAACTGAACTTGTGGTCTTAATTTTGAAAGTGTTCTAAGGGCTAGTTTTCCAGTAAGAGATTAGTCAAACTATGGGCAAAGTGAGCTTCTATTCCGCGCGCGTCAAAACAAAATGTCCACTGCTGATTTAAAATTAGCTCAAATATGCGTTTATGTCTTACGGCTGGTTGGCGTTTAGACTCATTTAGGCAGGAAAGGTGTGATGTAACTCAGACCACTTTCAAAATTATGGGCACAATTATTCTTTGACTATTTTAATAACCATTGATTGTCAAACCTGCTTCCAGTTTTGTAATGGAAAAAAGGATTTGAGCAATGAACTTGAAAAAGCAAATGCCATTTTGAACAATTTTAAAAAAATTTTCAGCGAAGGTCAAATCCGTAAAATGGTTTTTCAAAGTATGTCTTCTGTTTAATTAACACAAAGTATTTTATAGGAATATCCTTTTTATTATAGAACAAAACGTAATGTGCTCATGGAAAGACATTTCCACCGCCGTATGCTTGCACGCAGCTGGACCACGGGCATACAATCATTTGTACCACAAGGGATTTCCGCTTCCCCACGAGTCAACACTGCAGCGCTGGTATCGCAGAAGCAATATAAGCGAGGGTCTCCTGACTGCTTCCATTGATTGCATGAAACAAAAATCTGATTATTCTGATGATGATAAAACTTGTGTCATTGCGTTTGACGAAATGAAAGTCGTCGAGTCATATGAATATGAACAGGCAGGAGACTACGTTCGAAAGCCTGCGAACTATGTACAAGTAGTAATGGCACGTGGGTTGCGAAAAACCTGGAAGCAGCCTGTTTTTTATGATTTTGATTGCCAAATGACGAAAGACATTTTGTTTTCCGTGATTTTGGCAGTTCAAAATGCAGGCTTTCCGGTGGTAGCTATAGTGTGTGATATGAGTCCCACTAATCGCAAACTGTGGAAAAGTTTAAATGTCACAGTAGGTAAGGTTGATACTCGTTCTTTTATTATTTTAACCCTAGAAGCCCAATCTACTTGAAAGTTACGTAAAGCCCAAACATACGTCTTAGAGGCACATTTAGTTCTGCGCCTTTTATACGCCTTTTATGCGCCTTTTATACGCCTTTTTGACATAGATCGGGCTTTATGTATATGTTGATATGTATAAATAGTATACAAAACATTTTTATACCCGAGCGCGAATAAATTCGTAAAAATATGGCAAATAATTCTCAAATCCTTGTACTGTTTTAGATCAGCCATGGTTTCCTAACCCTTACGTTGACAAAGCAAAAATTTTTGTGTTTGCCGATGCGCCGCACCTGCTTAAGTTGGTAAGAAACCACTTCCTAGACTCTGGTTTTGTGTGGAAGGGGAATCATTTAACCACAAGAACTATTTGCGATTTGCTGAAGTACACTTCAAAATCGGATGCGTCAATCGCTTTTAAATTGACCGACGAGCATATTTCTGTGAAAGGAATAGGTAGGTAAAAATACTCTCCATACTTTACACTGTAAAAGCTTAAAAAAAAAAATTAGGACGTCAAAAAGTTAGACTTGCGGCGCAGCTATTTTCGAATACCACTGCTTGCGCAATTAGGCGCTGTTATTCCTTAGGGTTTGAAATATATAATCCCACAGATACAGCTGATTTCATTCAACTCATCAATGATTGGTTTGATGTTTTGAATTCGACCATGGAAACCTTTGGCTTACCTGGGAAGGTACTACTTATTAGTTAGGGATTTAACAATTAACCCTTAAATTAAACTTTTGACTTAAGGAACCCTTTGGAAAAAACTTTGAAAATCAAATAGATGTTTTGACGCGAACAAATGAGTTCATGTCAGTGCCGATCATACCGCGTAAAAAGGGACTAGAGCATTTCCAGAACGGCTTTTTAATGACAAACAAAGCTTTAGTGATGCTTTTCGATTATGCCAAGCAAAATTCAAACGTGGAATACATTTGCACCTACCGGCTAAATCAGGATGTATTGGAGCATCTTTTTGGCGCTATTCGCAGCAAAGGTGGCCTAAATGACCACCCTTCTCCCAAGGAGTTCAAATATAGGCTCCGAAAATACATCCTAGGTATGATTGTTGTTACAGCTTGTAAATATTGGCTTAAATGATATTTTGTAAATTTTTCTTTTTTTTTAGCACGGAATACTGAACTTTTGCAGGGTAGAGGAAACGTCGCAGGAGATGATACGGAATGGCTCCATACGAACGACGAAACACATCTAGTAGATTCTGGCGGTACGAGCAATTCATTTTGCAGCGAAGAATTCTTTTCCGAAGAAAATGTGATTCAGAAATCCCAAAACTGCGAGTCAAGTGTTGGAATTGACGAAATTGCCGATGACGATGGATCTGCTACTGTTTGGGAACCGGATACGGAAACGGAGTCGGAAATGGTTGATAAA